TGATGGATGTGTTACTTAGTTCAATGTAAGCATTTCACATTGTATATCAAATCAGTACACTGAACCCCATAAATCCATCAATGTACAAAGTTATGATTTAATAAACACACATGAAAAAAGAATTGTTCTATGATTTAGTGCCTCCACCTAGATGACCTTTATCATAATCAAAAGACCACCACAGGATTAAGCCATGAGACTATTAACTCTTTTTCATTCTGTAAACACACGCCCTAAAATCTTTAATAAAAAAAGTCCTGAACGGGAGCAGCACCTGTCTGCTTTGCTACAGACTGGTCTCAGCAGATTTTTTCACAGAAACTGTGCATGTTAATTTCTTGCACTGTTTCTCCCTTCTTCTCTGGACCTGGTGGTCAAGAAAGTCCCCGCTAGGAAATTCCAAGACTGAGGTGTTACTACTTCCTCCTAGGCTGCAACACTGCACTACAGAATTCCGGGCAGAATACGGACCAAGCAAAGCCTCAGAGGCCAGGAAGTGCAGGAGGAATATGAAAAGAAACAGAGAGAACAGGCTGGGTGCAGTGGCTCACGCCTGTAATCCAAGCACTCTGGGAGGCCAAGGCAGGTGGATTGCTTGAGCTCAGGAGTTTGAGAGCAGCCTGAGTAAGATAGAGACCCATCTCTACGTTCTTCCCTGACCTCTGGGCCCTAAGACAGATTAATACTCTTTCATCTTGTAGGAGTTACCCCCACTGTGTTGTTAGTTCATTTTCATGTCTGTTTTCTTCTCTAGACCACGAAGGATGATGTTCCATTCATCTTGGTATTCCCAATGCCCAGCACATTTTGTATACCTGGTAAAAGTTAACTGAATTTTTGTAACTGTCTTGGCTACATAATGAATCTTTGGTAGTTTTGAGAGCTAAACTGGATATTTCACTCACTTTTGTATTTAAGAAGCTTTGGACAGTGTCTGACACATAACTGGTGTCAATAACTATTTGTAAATATAAGTTCCTTCTCCCAACCTAGATGACACTTAAGGCAGTTATCCACCTCTTCTCTGTCATCCCTCTGGTACTCATAATCAAGACGGTTCTGTTAACTGTGTGGCGCAAATCTGTCTTCTTTCTAACTAACCCCCACAGACTATTCTGTCTGCCAGCACACAGTATAATCTGCCACTGGGGCCATCAGCTTTTGGCACTGCCTGCCATTTCGTTTCAGCGGTTAATCTAGGGGCTGTAATGTCTGAGAAATCCACAGCTCCCATCGGTCCCCACGTTTGGACTGTAGAGCTTGTCCCTGCTTCTCCCACACCCATGGTTGACAGACAGTGAACCAGAGCTGGGACGGTCCCTGGCAGTGACCAAGTGCCACACTCTGTGTGGAGGTCGGGACATGAAAGCCAGGGGGGTGGGAGTGGGTATAAAGTCCAAGGTCACACAGCGAACCCGGGTCGTGAGCGGGCCTAAACATAGGGTTTCCTCTCGGCTCGCGGACTAGGGAGTAGGGAGCCCAGCGCCCTCCTCCCCCTCGCCGTGACTGAAGGAGGTCTCACCGCAGGTCGCTACAGCCCCACGCTCACTCCCGTTCGGCCTCCGGCGCTGCTGGGCCGCTCGCACAGAACCAGCCAGCTGTTGTCTCGGTGTCACGGGCGACAGGCATCGGCCACTTCCGGTACCTGGGCCGCACTCCAGCCAATGAGCTAGCGCCGCGCGCCGCGGCTGTAACAGGTGGTCAGCGCGCCACCGCCTCCTGGACTTTTCCAGCTTTCCTTTTCGCCGGTTCGCAACCTGACCCACCCCCACCACCCCCACCACCAAGCCGCCGCCTGTCTAGGTGGCTACCAGGAATAACCCTGTGTACTGGGCGACGGCCATTCCGGCCCCAGATCACTGACGAGCCGAGTCCTCCCGATTTCCTAGAACGGCTCCGGGGAGGAACTTCCGCTCCGTGACCAGCCGCTCTGTGCACTGGTGTCGCTTTCCAGTCATTTCTCTGGAGAAGTTAGAAGTCGGCTTCACCTTCCTACGGAGATGGCCTACCCGTCCCCTTTCACGCTTCCTACCTACATGCCTCTTATTCTCTAGCTCTGTGAATCTGATAAACACAGGTTACTAGATCCTAGGAACAGGAGGGTCAACGGCGGGGGCTAAGAGAGAGATGCTCTGAGTTCAGACATGGCTGGGGAGGAGTGATGCTGGTCCGAAATCTGAAGGTTGAGCGGGCATTACCTAGCTGAAGCGTATAGGGGACGGGCGGTGCAGGCAATGGGAACGGCATTCTGCGTTAGCCTTATATTCCCTGAGCAACGTTGGGCCGTTCTCGCCTTAGAACCTTTGTACTCGTTACACTAACTTTGCACAACAAACTTCTTGTTTTTAAGTCTCAGCTCAGAGATCATTACGTTGAAGAAGTCTTCCATCTTATCTAATGTTGCCTTAAATTACACCATCTCTCCCAAATATGAGTTACAAGGAAGGACTACCACTGTCTCTGGGGCTGGCCTTGCACCAGTTACGGGGAAAGAGAAGGTATGATTAGCAAAGCCTGGATCACATAATCCTTTGAAAATAGGGAAAGGAGTGACAGCTCTCAGAAAGCGACTGTGAGGTTTTTTTGTTTGTTTTGTTTTGGGTTTTTTTGAGCCCCAAGCTGTCCCCCTGGGTAGAGTCCTCTGGCATCACAGCTCACAGCAACCTCCAACTCGAGGGCTCAAGCGAGTCTCCTGCCTCAGCCTGCCAGGTACCTGGGACCACAGGCGCCCGCCACAATGCCCAGCTATTTTTTGGTTGCAGCCATCATTGTTATTTGGCAGGCGGGACTGGATTTGAACCCGCCACCTTAGTTGTATGTGGCTGGCGCCTTAGCCACTTGAGCCACAGGGGCTGAGCCAGGGATACTGTGTTTATATCCAGTATGCAACCTAGCAAAAAGAAAAACTTCTTGAATTGATCACTGAGATTAGGCCCTAGACTCTAAGGTCCATCACCTTTGCCATTCACACACGAATATCCTTAACTCTCTGTCCTACCAACTGCATGGGAAATTTGTTAAACCTGAATCAGTCAGAATGCCTATTTTCCTTGCCCAAGCTGCTAACAGTGAGAGGAAAAATTATACATTTTGGAGAAGAGCCCAGATTTTTATGGTCTCTGCTTTCCAGAGGTCTTTGACTTGTGCCCAGAAATAATTTCCTGTTTTCCTAGTCAGCTTCTTTACCATTTTCCACAGTGGCCATTTCAACCTTCTGCTCTCTGACAAATCTTTCGCCAAGCCATAATCCAGGAGGTGTCAATTTCCATCACAATAGTTACCAGATACGTTTATCACAAGGAAAGGTATCCAGACTACAAAAGTATGCTGCATCAGAGCCAAGGGTGGAAGACATTTATCTACCTGTGTTAAAGGGCATCTGCCTCAATAGCATAAATCAGTGATTCTCAACATTGGCTGCATAGTGGAATTACCTGGGAATTTTATAACTACTGTTATATCTGCTACTATTCACATAGATTCTGTAGAAATCTATGTGATCTTAGATATGATCTGGGCACGGGTTTGGTTTGGTTTTTAACTTTCCAGGTAATTCTAACAGACAGTAAAGGTTAAAAACTGATCGCATAGGTCAGTGGTTCTCAAATGTGTTCTGTAAATCAGCATCATTGCATCATGTGGGAACTTGTTAGAAATGAAAATTCTTGGTTGAGCGCCCATAGCTCAGTGGTTAGGGCACTGGCCACATACACCGGGGCTGGCGGGTTCGAACCCCGCCCAGGACTGCTAAACAACAATGATAACTACAACAAAAAAAATAGCCAGGCATTGTGGCAGGTGCCTATAGTCCCAGCTACTTGGGAGGCTGAGGGAAGAGAATCACTTAAGCCCAAAAGTTCGAGGTTGCTGTGAGCTGTGACACCACAGCATTCTACTGAGGGCAACACAACGAAACTCTGTCTCAAAAAAAAAAGAAAAGAAAGAAAGAAAATTCTTGGCCTGGCCGATGGTCCACATCTATGGTCCTAGCACTCTGGGAGGCCAAGGCAGGAAGATCTCTTAAACTTAGGAGTTTGAGGTTGCTGAGCTAGGCTCATGCTATGGCATGCTGGCCTTGGGGCAACAGAAGAGTGATACTCTGTCCCCCACCCCACCCCCACAAAAAGAGAAGAGTGAAGAGAGAAAAAAGCAAAGGAAGGAAAGAAAAGAAAGAAATGAAAATTCTTGGCTGGGTATGGTGGCTGACGCCTGTAATCCTAACACCCCGGGAGGCCGAGGCAAGTGGATAGCTTCAGCTCAGGAGTTCAAGAAGCCTGCAACTGTATCATCTAAAAATAGAAAAATTAGTGGTGTGTGCTTATAGTCCTAGTTATTTGGGAGGCTGAAGCAGGAGGATGGTGTGAGCCCTGGAGTCTGAGGTTACAGTAAGCCATGATAACAGCACTGCATTCTACCTGGGATGAAAGAGCAAGACTCTCAAAAATTAAAAAGAGGGTGGCGCCTGTGGCTCAAAGGAGTAGGGTGCCAGCTCCATATGCCAGAGGTGGCGGGTTCAAACCCAGCCCCAGCCAAAAACTGCAAAAAACAAAACAAAACAAAAATTAAAAAGAAATGGGCCAGGCACAGTGGCTCACACCTATAATCCTAGCACTCTGGGAGGCCAAGACAGGTGGATTGCCTGAGCTCACAGGTTCAAGACCAGCCTCAGCCAGAGTGAGACCCTCCCATCTGTAAAAATAGCGGGGCATTGTGGTGGGCACCTGTAGTTTCAGCTACTAGGGAGACTGAGGCAAGACAATCACTTGAGCCCAAGAGTTTGAGGTTGCCCTGAGCTATGAGGCCATGGCACTCTACTGAGGGAGACAAAGCGAGACTCTGTCTCCAAAAAAAAAAACTGAAAAGTCTCAGACCCCATTCATAGATCCCCTAAGTCAGAAACTCTGGAGTTGGAACTCAGCAGTATGTGTTTTAACAAGCCCTTTGGGGCTCTGATGACACTAAAGTATGAGAATCATTCGCCACAGCATTGGCAGTGCTTCATTTGATCATACGTTGGTCATAATGAAAAGGATAAATCATTTCCTCTTGACTAGTCCCTGCCCACCATCTCCTTGATTACACTAGGCGCCTCAGCTGCCATCTGGAGAAATGGGAAGATACTGAGGGAAGGAGACCAGGTAATATGGTCCATAAATACTATACCCATTTTCTGTGTGTGTGATGATATGTATAGGCAGGGGCTCATGCTTCAGGGTCTGCAGACAGACTCAGAGCGTCCATAGAATCAGGTTTATAAGTAACCATGAACAGTTCTATTACTCTTGGGGAAAAAACGATAGGTAAGAATCTTGACCACCCTCCTGTATTCACACAGGGACACATACATGGAAAATAAAAGACATACTGCTCTTATTCTCTCTTGTCTCTCTGTGGAAGATGTGAGAGGGAGGGCTACAAGCACTGGCTGCACTCCCTTCTTATACTTTAGACCACATCATCTCTCAAATTAGTTTACAACTCTGATTTTGCCCTAGTGTTATTCAAAAATCATATTTTCAGTTATCTGTGCACCATATTCCAAGTATTGCTGAACTGTTAGTGTCTGCAAACTGTCCTCCTCAGACTTTAATAACAATTGTAAGATACTGTTAGGATTCTGTAAGAAATAACCAGAAGATTTACACCCACCTTGCTAAAGCTGAATCAGGTTCAATTAGGCCCTCAGTGTTCCCCCTTTCACCTCCAGCCATGAAGATGTAAGGAAATAGAGCAAAAGGGCAACTTCCTACTCTATAGTTATAAATTATATGAATGGTCCCTGACTTATGATGGTTAGACTTGGGAGTTTGGGGCTTTATGATGGTGCGAAAGTGATATGCATTCAGGAGAGTCCATACTTTGAATTTTGATCTTTTTCTGGGCTAGTGATAGGCAGAACAGTACTACTTCAAGATGCTAAGTGATCATGAGGGTAAACAATTGATACTGTACAGCAGGGATATCAAACCTTTTTTTTTATTTTTCTCTGCTATACATCAGAAAAATAAGAGTTGTCTTGGGCCACACATCAAACACACAAACATTAATGAAATTTGATTAGCACTAGCAAAGAAAAAAAGGTCCATGCATATTGTTTGTGATATCTGACACTACAGATAAGTGAAAAAGGTCCTCACAAAATCAGCATGCAGCCCATGGGCTGTAGGTTGGACACCCCTGCTCTACAATGTACTATGTTGCCAGGTGATTTTGCACAACTATAGACTAATGTAAGTGTTCTGATCACATTCAAAGTAGACTAGTCTAAGCAATGAGGTTCAGTAGGTGAGGTGTATAAAATGCACTTTGGCTTGGTGTAGCACAGTAGTTATGGCACCAGCCACATACATCAAACACTGGCGGGTTCAAACCTGGCCAAGGCCAACTAAACAACAATGACAACTGCAGGGTGTTGTGGCAGGTACTTGTAGTCCCAGCTACTTGAGAGGTTGAGAAGAGAATCACTTAAGTCCAAGAGGTTGCTGTGAGCTGCAAAGCCACGTACTCTACCCAGGGCAACATAGACTCTGTCTCAAAACAGACTTATGATGTTTTCAATTTATCATGAGTTTATCAGAACATGGTTCCATTGTAACTCAAAGATCATCTGTACCAAGGAGGCCAGAGCAACCA